CACTCTTTTTCAACCAATCAGATCGCGGAAATTCATATATACGTATTTCTTAAGAAAGACTAACCAGTACAATATTTATTATTCACGCCTTGTTTCAGTTTCATGAGCTCTGTGAAATACCTGAACACAAAGCAAAAGCTAGCTAACTTTGATCCCAATTGTGGGGGAGGGAAAACAAAATATAACAAGCTAGTGCGAATTAATTGACTCTTTTAAAAATTTGAAACTTTATTTGCTGCTCAGTTTCGTCTTGTAGACTACAGTTGGCTGACGTCGGTTTTTTTTTCCTGAAATCCCTTGCTAGATTTGAAAAGTCCTTATACTACTTTGCAATCCTGTATCAGCCACGTCGCAAGCTGGGAAAAGAAAGAGATTGCTAGTAGTCTATTCGTCTTCCTTGAGTTTGCTGTCCATGGTTAGTCCTATCTATATGACATAATTTGACAGTAGGGAAACGCACAGGCCTAAAACTTAGAGAAGTGTCTTATTTAGTTATCTTCTATCGCGTACATCGCAATTTCTTAGCTTTTTCCATTGGTTGGTTTTCGATTTATTATTATTTTTTTATTGCGTGACAGTAAAAACGATCTGTACCCTTCGAAGAACAAAAAAGCAACTGTGGAATATTTTTTTGTAAAAGGATAAAACATTTTTTTAGTTCATAATTTTTGTGCATGTTCTCACCTTCCTCTGATATAAATCCATGCCATTCCTTATTTTTTGATCGGGATCATTTGCGGTCCAATATGGGGATCATTTCCGGTCCGGGGTCATTTGCGGTTCAATTTGGGGATCATTTGCGGTCCGGGATCATTTGCGGACCCGTACAGATTCCCTTGTGTTTTTCTGTGTTCCATTTTCGTTGTCCATGCTCCCATTTTTGGCGAAGAAGGGCAAGCTTTAGATACACAGCCAAAGAGCAAACTCACAGTTAGCAAATGTTCGCTCTTGACTAGATTTGATTGAAAATGCGTATTCTAATTGAAGTCATTCTCTTACTTATGCTGTAACTAATTAGAGCTCGTTATTTCTATTGAGCTCGTGCCGGAGTAGTGTGTAGTACTAACAGGAGCCATAATCGGGGACGGAGACCGTAAGCGTGCGCCATTTCTAGTATTGGGGCTGTTCTGTCCCCATGATATGGGACAATTTTTCTATTTTTAGAACAAATTGCGCCATCCCGTGCGGCACACGCGC